CAAACCGTTCTGGCATTACTCTCTGAATTTTCACAATTTTTTATCAGAGGTGACCCAAGTCAAAAAATGGGAAAACAAATTTTCAGATTTTTTGAGTAAATGCGGTACTGCTAAAAAGGGCCTGAAGATAATGTCCACTTTCTCCAATGATTCTTTGTATGTCATCAAGTATTGATTATATTGATACCAAAACCGATCCAATATGTAACTACTACGGTGAATTTTGAACAACAGTTTTAAATGAAACCATTTTCGTATAAAGGTACATTTTTGAAACAGACTATAGCATTTCAAAATATGAAAAATGTGTAAATATTTGTGTTTAAACATCGAAAACTATTCGTTAACTACAAAATGTCATGCCCATTCTTTTTTATATAGTCTGTCATTCGAGTGAACATTTCGATGTTCGAAGGGGATCATTTCTGTACATTTTCACTGAATTTGGTAATTTCGATAACAGCACTTGGATCGAGATTGTCATGTTTAAAAATCGATTTGTGTATCCAAACTCTAGACGTGTACGTGCTTTTTTCAAACAAATCAGCAGAAGTTCAGAAAATGACATAGTCTCTCCACAGTAAGTCAAAAGTCGAACCCACCCTTGTTTCTGGGGTAAAACGCAATACAAAAATGAAACAGACTATAGCTTAAAGACTAGTTAATCAATAATTCATTTGTCACCAAAAAATACGGTTTCACATCAAATATCAAGTAAAATTACTGTTTTTGACACTTTTTGAGCACTATGATATAGAAATGTCGACGCTGTATACGGTATTTAATACTTTCTAGAATCATGCAATTCATAGTTCGTTAGATGCACAAATATATATATGCCACACAAAAATCATCTTCAAACCGTTCTGGCATTACTCTCTGAATTTTCACAATTTTTTATCAGAGGTGACCCCAGTCAAAAAATGGGAAAACAAATTTTCAGATTTTTTGAGTAAATGCGGTACTGCTAAAAAGGGCCTGAAGATAATGTCCACTTTCTCCAATGATTCTTTGTATGTCATCAAGTACTGATTATATTGATACCAAAACCGATCCAATATGTAACTACTACGGTGAATTTTGAACAACAGTTTTAAATGAAACCATTTTCGTATAAAGGTACATTTTTGAAACAGACTATAGCTTTTCAAAATATGAAAAATGTGTAAATATTTGTGTTTAAACATCGAAAACTATTCGTTAACTACAAAATGTCATGCCCATTCTTTTTTATATAGTCTGTCATTCGAGTGAACATTTCGATGTTCGAAGGGGATCATTTCTGTACATTTTCACTGAATTTGGTAATTTCGATAACAGCACTTGGATCGAGATTGTCATGTTTAAAAATCGATTTGTGTATCCAAACTCTAGACGTGTACGTGCTTTTTTCAAACAAATCAGCAGAAGTTCAGAAAATGACATAGTCTCTCCACAGTAAGTCAAAAGTCGAACCCACCCTTGTTTCTGGGGTAAAACGCAATACAAAAATGAAACAGACTATAGCTTAAAGACTAGTTAATCAATAATTCATTTGTCACCAAAAAATACGGTTTCACATCAAAAATCAAGTAAAAATACTGTTTTTGACACTTTTTGAGCACTATGATATAGAAACGACTAGTCTACTCAAAAAGGAGGGTAGTTTACCTAACTTAATAATGACTTCACGGTTCAGCTAGCAAGCAAGCTAACCAAAAGATATTACCTTTTCCTACACACTCATTGAAATCGGCTGTAAACTTATGAGTTTGATAACCTCCTTCGTAGCTTCCACTCTCTAATGTTTGAAGGTCGTACGGTGACCTATAGTTGTTAACTTCTATGTCATTTGGTCTCTGGTGAACAGTTGTCTCATTGGCAATTATTCGTGTGAATTTTAGAATAGACGCCATCTAATTAACCATCGACATGATCTCTGAAGAATTCAGTAGGTCATATGGCCTGATGTAAACATAACTATGTATAAACATACATAGTCAAGCACGTACAATATGTTTAATTTCATGTCATAGATTTAAAAACATGTAAAATCATCGTTTTGGAATGATTTTGTGTGTGCAGAATCAGTCAACAAAAGGGATCTTCCCGGTGTCTGCCTTCACTTTTCAATTTTGACATTCTTTTCTTTTTTATAAGGGGCCTCGGTTGTCGACTGGTCTAAGTAGTCAAACTACTGTATCACAAACCTGTCAACACTGAGGTTGTGAGTTCAAATCCCGCGCGTGGCAGGTGCGACTCCAATTGGCTAGGATTGTCAGTTTTGCTACAAAAGGTCGGTGGTTCTCTCCGTGCAGTCCGACTTCCTCCACAGATGAAAACTGACCGCAGCGAAATAGCACAATAGTGCTGAAAGTGGCATAAAGCAACAATCAATCAAACAATCAATCTTCTTTGTATAGCTAAACACGATTAGCCCATGCATAGCCCATCCCAGATAAATTAAAGTTCGCATGAATACGGATTCATATGTCATTGAGTTGAATTATCGACTTACAAGCCAATAATACATCATCGGTGTTTTTTGGGATTATTTTGACAAAATTGAACCAAAATACTATTTCACAATTCCGCTTTTATAAATGTTTGAAAAAACAATTATAATTTGATTTTTGTCAACTTCGTAGCTAATGATCCTTTAAAGCAATGTCCTACGAAATATTTACAAAAAACTCGAAAGCGTTCTTCTACTTATGTGGTAGAAAAAAGTAAAATAAAAAAAATCCCGAACTCCAAGGAAAATTCAGAAATCATTGCAAAATATTTTAAATAGTTCCAAAAGGACACATGCGCAAGGGGCAATGGAAACCCGTTAGTCAAAGAGAGGCAGACGAAACCATTGCAAAAAAAACAACAAAACACAAGAAAACAACAGGCTGCAAAATAATTCTTTTGAGACTAAACTCTTAAAACAAAATAGGCCACACAAACACTGGCATAATCATGTACGCAGTTCTTGCACTACTAGTGAAATCTGTCAATGCGTCTGCCAGTCATTTGGATTCTCTGACAGATATTCAGTAACAGTCTACCAAATCTGTCAATGCATCTGTCAGTCATTTCGATTCTCTGACAGATATTCAGTAACAATCAATCAAATCTGTCAATGCGTCTGTCAGTCATTTGGATTCTCTGACAGATATTCAGTAACAGTCAACCAGATCGTCACTTCAAAAGAGAGAACAAGTTTATGAATTTTATAAAATTTCTAGAAAATGAAATGAATGAAGATACTTGCCTGAGATTATCCCATGTACCATCACTATGGGTAGAACCTTTATAATTTGAAACAGTATACTATTTATCATGCAATTTGTTCTCATTAATATCTTTTTATCTGCCGTTATTATTTTTACACGTGAAGACTTGTTTATTCAAACACAAGTTATTATTGTGTACGTTTTGTCATATAAACAATTTTATAATTATTTTAGGGATGACATCAAAAGTTCAATGTAGGATAAAAAAACTTAATTCACATAGTTTTTTCACTGACCCCCCCCCCCCCCCCCCCCCCCTCTTAACTTAATTTGGGAAAAATTGATTGACCAATATGGATATATGCAAAATCGATTTTGGATAAATAAAACTTGCAGCAATTTTAACCCCCCTCCACCCCCAAACTATTTGATTTAAGTTTTTTTTATCCTACATTGATCTTTTGAAGTCGTCCCTTAGTTGTTGGTTCAATTCAGAGTAGAAACTTGAATTTGTATAGGCTGGAACAGTTAAATGTATATTGCATGGTGAAAAGGGTTTTAATTGTTTTATAATTGGGATACACATTATATTTTAGTTCTTTGAAAGAGATTTTCATCTTCTGGACAGAACATTTGTTTGATTTATGTATCAAATAAAGTAATCCAGTTGTTCGTTTGAGGTAGAATTCTATAAATTACATTTTCCTGAACTTCTAAGCCATATCGAAATAAAAGGCCGTTAACAACCTCTATCGTATTGATTTAGGTCTTACACTTTTCCACAACACTGACACTCTGTTCACACCTTTAGAATCAATTTTCAATGAAATAAATATTCGAGCTCTTTTCTAAAATAAAAGCACTGGTTAACGAAGACAAAATCAATTACCAAAAAGAGAGAAAAAGACCCAAAAATGTCAACAAAACACTATACAGATTGAACAGGACAATGCCACCCTTGTTGTGCACTAAGGTTGTTCGGCAAACGACAATTAAACAATGTGAGATGATTGGCATACAGTGGTGTTATATAAGAGGAAAAGGGCAAGAATTTGCCGTTTTGCCAAAAAGTACATATCTTTCAAGCAGATATTGGGTAACGGTTAAGAAACTTGTGTCGGCGTTGAGGAGAGTGACGATTTTAGCTTCGTATAATACTTTTGTTCAATGACTTGTGCTCCGTCTGTAGACGACCCTGGAATTTTGCTACATTGAAAGGAATGATTAGGATTGGAAAATTGAATGCAGTTTTTTGTTGAAGATTTAGTCAACATTCTTTGCCTACAAGAAAGATTAATGACACGGTAAGGGTCAGTTAATTTTTACTTTTTGGTGGTTTACCCCCAGCATAGATGGACTTATCAACAGAAACACTAAGGTTTGCCTACCCCAGTCATCGATAGCCTGGGCCACAGAAACAATAAGGTTTGAATACCCCAGACATCGATGGACTTAGCCACAGAAACGCTAATGTTTGTCTACGCCCATACATAGATGGGTGGTCTTAGCCACAGAAACACTACGATTTTTCTACTCCAATTCAAGCATCGCTGGCATCAGCGACGTTTGTCACATCTTTTGAATGCTTAACTTTTAATTCTCTTTAAAATCCTGATTAATTTAAATAGTTTTGTAATACTGGAAAGGAAAATTTTCCTGATCTCACGAAATTAATATCAATGAATAACACAATTAAACATTATCTTTGTGGTATACTAGTACGTTTGCATGAATAAAAGAAATATAAGGTTACCTTCACTGAAACAGCAACCAAGTTGAATAAGAAGAAATATTCTCATATTAACGGAAATAAATATAAGTCAAGTGTTTAATGAATTGGGTGACAATCACCGATATATTTACAAATAATATGTAACTTTAAATATGGATTTGATAAAGAGATGAATGGTAAATCAAGATCAATTGAACAATTATATTAAAAATTTTTCAAACGGTTCCATTCATGTCCTCTTTTCTTCTGATCAGCATAATACCATCCCTTATAGGCATCAAAACCTACAAACAGACAGTATGAATATATATTAAATATTTTTCCTTATTCGGAGGTGGAGAGGCGTGTCAAAATAATGAAGTAAAAACCCTGAAGTAAGTTATTTTAAAAGTCATCGATCACTCCAGGTTGTTCCTATGCATTTTTTAATTGATTTAAACGACAGCATCATGTTTTATATTTGATGATTTTATTCAAACACTGGGTCGAGGCAACTGGTGGTGGACATTTCGTCCCCGATAATATAACCAGCCTAGTCTGAGCTCATGTTCTGACATGACATATCATGGATGCAGTAAGTTTACTGTATTATAGTTAAACGTTTATAAAATCATAAAACAAATACAAATGTATTTTTATTCCAAGGCATAGGTGGCTTTTAATACCTAGATTTTGAACAATGTTTTGAAATTTGTCGGTTTCAAAATTTGATGAACTCCTACGTAGTAATAGATATGGCCTTCCAGTTTCTTTGATCCCAGCATCACTGATGAGTCGTGTGTTTATCAAACGTCTGTTTGACATATTTTATTGCCTGTCTGGTATCTTAAATTATTAGCCTGATATCTTAATTATTTTTTTTTCTTTTGTTTGAGTAGAATTAACTTATATTACTTAATCGCTGAATGCACGCCCTATCAAATTAAACTAACTGCGTAATACAAGATAAGCACAGTATCGGTGTCTCCCTTGACATACATGTAGTTTACAACGGCCGTCCATTAGCTGTGCTGGTGGAGTACTCCTTCAGCTCAATCGATAGAGCAATGGCTTACTGTGACAGGAGTCCAGGGTTCGAAAGTTTTATAACATCGTTTAAGTATTTTGTTATGTACATCACCATATAGCAATATCAATCAATATTTGACGGAATTGCTTCCCCTAGTACATGTAATAGATACTTAGCCAGTCGTAAGCGGTTGAGCTAGGGGAGTGCTTAATTCATAAGCTCAGTCGGTTAAAGTGCCGACTTTAAATAAAGAGGTTCAGGGTTCCAGTCCCGGAGGAGACTAAGTGGTTTTGTAAAAACCATCATGCTCTCCAGTTACATTTGGCGCCCAAAATCCACGGTGGTTAGAAAGGATATCTAGCCAGTGTATGTGTTGTGAGAGTCATAATGGTATACAAGTTTGAGATTTCTAAAAAGCTGTGGACTGCTTTGCTCTATCCTATATTAAGGTAATGTGTGTGCATGTGGTTGTTCATTTAGTATTGGAAATGCGGTATTTTTAGATATTGATTGATATAAAATGGATTTACGTTACGAGTGTGCGTTATACACCCATGCTTTTAAAATTTTGTTCACTTTACTTGTTGAAAATTAAAACATTTACAAATAGACACGACTGTGGAGGTGTGCCTAGATTGGCGGAAGTTATAAAATACAGATAATGCATTTGTGTAAACATTGTATAGGAACATTGTTTAGCAAAACAAATCGTGCATATTGCAGATTAACAAAGCAAATAAACACGTATTAATAATTGATATTTCAATATTGAATTTCTGTGTGCGATATATGCATAATAAAACGAAGATGAATTAACGACAGTTGATCGGAACTGAAATACACATAGTTATTTTTCCGGTATTTGATGTCTTATCCTGAGACGAGAAAAGTCTGTAATTCTTTAACTCATTTAAGCCAATAGCTGAAGCTGTATCTTAGCCGCATCATAAAGCAACCAATCAAAATCTATACGTGATAAGTAATTATTTCAAGATGTCGTGCATGTCGACTGAAACTAATATGAGGCAGGCGTTACCTGTGAAAGGGGGCGAAGTCTGTATGTATTATTTTTTTTTAATTCAAACATATTTTAACTTCAAAATCTGTTCAAAAAGAAACGGAAATACCCTTACGTTTCCGATTTCGGTTCTGTTGTTCGGAATTTTAGTTGTGACGTTATTTATGTTATGACGTCATATTCAATGTAAACAAAGAAACGCTATCAGGTAACGTTTTTTCATATCAATCCATTCAAGGAATTAATATGAGGTAGGCGTTACCTGTGAAAGGGGACGAAGTCTGTATGAATTTTTTTTTTTAATTCAAACATATTTTAACTTCAAAATCTGTTCAAAAAGAAACGGAAATACCCTTACGTTTCCGATTTCGGTTCTGTTGTTCGGAATTTTAGTTGTGACGTTATTTATGGTATGACGTCATATTCAATGTAAACAAAGAAACGCTATCAGGTAACGTTTTTTTCATATCAAGCCATTCAAGGAATTATAAAAAAATGGAATGTCTATTGGTATTGCGTTCCTTCCTATATTTTACTAGACTGATAAATATATATTTTACTCAAAGACTCATGCAAACGAGACCGGAAAAAGGAAGTACATTTCTGCGCAAATGCGGGAAAATAAAAAAGTCTGAAAATAAAAAAGTTAACGATTTTGAGTTCATTAGTAGAATGAAAATTTCGGGAAATTTTCCCGATTTTTTTTTTTTTTTTTTTTTTTAATTGATTTTTCTACCGTAATAGGGGACTTCGTCCCCTTAATAGCTCCGCACCGTGATGCGAAGCAAACACTTGAGGTAGGGAAGTATAACAGGATTACTTCCCTTCAGTAGTAGGTAAGCGGTTGGGCTATGGACGTATTTCTTTAGCGAAGTCGGTTAGAGCGATGACTTGTAACACAGAGTTCCCGGGTTCTAGTTCCCGAGGAGACAATATTAATGTGATATGTAATTAGAATCATGCTCTCTGGTTACGCATATATACTTTTACATGTACAGAATGACTTGTCAACACTTAACAAATAAAAATGCAACCATGAATATCTGAAATAATAGTTTGGATCCGTTGACTACTTGTTTGTATGAAGATTGCAAATATTTATGCCTTGCATTGTTTTCATAATTCAGTGATTTGTCTAACGATCTGGAAGTTATTTTCGTTTTTATTTAATGGCAATATTATTTTTAATTATTCTTAAACAAAGGCTAATATGTTTACTCAATAGTCTCGGTGATATCAACAGACTTCAAATGTTTGTTAATGAAAGGTGTGAATTTAGATACTATGTTTGTGTTTTGCACTTCGTCAATCATTTTGGGGAAAATGTTTGTTGTTTTTTGTTTACAAGGGCCAATTGTGAGAATGAAAAAAAAAGATTCCAAGAGGTGTCAAAATTCATAAGTTGAAAAAAAAACCCGTTGATGAAAGAAGGAAGACGAACAGAGCAACAATTTTCTTTGAAAAATACACACATACATATGTGTAGATCTAAACGGAATGAGCACCTTAAAAACCCGGCAAAACACTGGGTTATACAGGTGTTCCAGAGAGATAATTACTTCTTAAGGTCACAAATTGAAAGGATATCTTTAAGATGTTCTTTTAAAATCATATATGGAGTCAAGCAAATGAGAAAAAAAAGTCGAGGAAAAAGGGAAAATAGTTGAATTCCAATGCAAAACTTCGTCAAACAAACATAACAAATGTATTTTATTTCAACCAGAAAATCAAGCATCTTCATGATTTCAGTTTTAAATAAATTTTGTTAGAAACTAAGAGATGGACTTTGTTTATAGGTACTCTGGCAGATTTAAAAACATTTTGGTATACACATCTGATTTAGTAGGTATTTTCATAGCATCACTGAAGTAAAGCACGGTTGTGACTGTCGATAAAAGAAATTGTAGTGAAAAAGCATATTGCAGATGCGTTTAGATTACGACATAGTTTGAGAAAAAACTAGAGCATTTCAACTATATATATATATATATGAGAGGTAATTTTCAGTTATCATTATTTAAAAGATTTGATTTTTTCTTGAGTTTTTCTTTAATTGGAATAGTTTTTGTAAACAAACCACAAAAATGTTATGTGAGTAAGATCTTATATTTAAAATGATTTGTCAAAGTCAAATACTTGTGGTCGGTTCTTTGCCTATCATTTACAAAATGTAGATTTTGAAATATTGCATTAAATGACTATATTTTAATGATTTTGTGTATGAAAGATGCAGATATGATAATATTTGTAACGTGTTATAGATCAATTGTTTTGTCAACACGTTTAGTTTTAATTCAAAACTATGTTGAGACTGTTAGTATAACATTATCAGATTTCATTTAATCTGTTCATTGAATATCTCTGTATGAAGTTTTAGGTTGATTAACCAAAACATGATTTTTAAATGTGTATATCCTGACGTCTAGTAAGTTATAATGTGTATATCCCGACGTCTAGTAAGTTATAATGTGTATATCCCGACGTCTAGTAAGTTATAATGTGTTTCTCTAATTCTTCGTCAATTTATCCCTTTCTGCACCCATTGTGTAAAAAAAATTTAATCAACGTGTGGTTCGTTTGATCTCAGTTCTTCATTGGTTAAAATCCGATTATGACGTCGAATTTTCTTGCTATTCTCTGAATTTCCTATTGTGACGGCATGAAAAAAGGCGACCATTCCTGATGACGTCACATAGAAAGAACACATCTTTTTGCAGATTATTCAAAAAGAAGGAATAACTTTGCCTGCATATTGTTTGAAAATCATTAGAGAAACAGATTCCACCACCAAATCTCGTGATCTCGTGTAATACGATATTTATCCACTCTCGGCAGTTAAATTTAAAATATTTAAAACGCTCGGCGAGCCTCGCGTTTTAAATTTGAAAATTTAACTGTCTCGAGTGGATAAATATCGTATCACACTCGATGCAGTGGTAGAATCTATATATATCCCGAAGTCTAGTAAGTTATAATGTTCATATATCGACGTCTAGTAAGTTATAATGTGTATATCGCGACGTCTAGTATTACTAAGTTATAATGTGTATATCCCGACGTCTAGTAAGTTATAATGTGTATATCCCGACGTTTAGTAAGTTATAATGTGTATATCTCGATGTCTAGTAAGTTATAATTTGTATATCCCGACGTCTAGCAAGTTATAATGTGTATATCCCGACTTCTAGTAAGTTATAATGTGTATATCCCGACGTCTAGTAAGTTATAATGTGTATATCCCGACGTCTAGTAAGTTATAATGTGTATATCCCGACGTCTAGTAAGTTAGAATTTCTAGTACGATACTTACATAATAAATATCTTTTCTCGTCACGATCATGTTGTTAAACTTGGTAACGCCTTCGTCAGGTGGTGTATCTTCCACGTACGGTTTACCTCTAAATAAGGCATTGTCCATGGCAATAGTACCTCCGGGAGCGAGAAGTTCGGAGAAGCATATCTTGAAATATAATCAAATGTACGTGAATTACATACATCGGAACTGTGGTATGGAAGTTATATTGTAAAAAGAGTAAAAGTGCATAAATGTAAAATTATATTGTCTCATTGACAATCATACCTTAATTTATTCTTATTTTTATATAAAGTTTAACCTGTTTCTCTGAATGTATAAACAATCTATCATCATGTGTTGTCAAATATGTAAAGATCATATACATCATTTCATATATTTATATTCAATAAATATGAAGTAAAATATTTGAATTGATACACGTTTATAAAACAGATTCATACTATGACCATTCTATAAATATTATATGTTGATTAGGTCTTTTTAACGATGATTCTAATATTATGTTAGAAATTGTTTGCTTTTTAAATTATCTTTTTTCTAATTGTTAATGATACACTTACATTAAAATAATCACAATAGCCCGCTTTATCAGCGTCTATGAAGATGAAATCAAACTTCTCATTTTTCTTAGCCAAACTATTTAAACTTTCTATTGCTGGACCTAAAACGATATAGGAAGAAAGAAACTCATGAACTGGTCTTGTGCACTTTTTTTAAATGTTCCAAAGAACAGTTCCTTGCTGTCATTAGCTAATATATTATTAAGTGAGATTATAAACAATTTAACCAAAAATTGCGAATGGCAGATCGATGCATTTTAAATGATAAGTAGCAATGGTAGTCATGCTTGAAAATGGAGGGGGAGTCAACCATTAATTGCATTTAATAAACGAAAATTTGGTACAAATAGTTTAAAAATCTTTATTTAAAGGAAATTCAGATCTTAGGTTATAATTTATTTACAATTTAACACACAGCGATTGAGATGTTGACATATGGTATGGTTTACATGATTGTTTGTTAATGAAAATACGATTTATTCCTCTGGATGTATATTTATTGTGCTGTTGGATTGCTGTCGCATTAAATATATGACTTACATATCCCCTGATTCATAACATGCAGCAATTGTATGTCTTAAGTTAAGTGTAATTAGTGATCTTATATGAATTTGGCAGGGGTCATTTTCTCCCTCACAAAATGACATTGCAACAGTATATTTCAGAAATCTGTGATATGTCTGTATAGAGTGTGTGTATACAACAAAAACAATCTGTGATATGTTAGTATAGAGTGTGTGTATACAATGAAAACAACCTGTGATGTGTTAGTATAGAGTTGTGTATACAACGAAAAAAAATCTGTGATATGTCAGTATAAAGTATGTGTATATAACGAAAAATATCTGTGATATGTCAGTATAAAGTGTGTGTATACAACGAAAAAAATCAGTGATATGTCAGTAGAGAGTGCGTGCATACAACGAAAAAAAGACCATGCGTAATTTAAAGGAAAAAAGGAAAAACAATTTAACTAAATATAAGACAGAAAACTATGATCCATTTAGCAGCAAATACCCAATTAAGAGCATTGGGTGACTCATGTATTCTGCAGTAGTCATGTTACAATTTCGATAACAAGTCATGAGTGAGCATAGTGAGAGAGTGTTATGGCTACGACCAACATATTCTGTAAATGTCAATCAAATTGTTGTGGCTCCCTTTAAATGTTCGAAGATAGGCTGGCAACTTCAATATGATCACTAGAACCCAACGTTCAACGGTTTGTGTGTTAGTAACAACTCTATATCAAATCAATCTCCTGAAGATTACATAAAATGAGATATGTATACTCCAAATGCAGTGCTGCTGTAAAGTTGGTGTACATCATGACAGTTTAATAAAAGGAAGTGTTAAAGTCCACAGACACTCCTGTCGATTTCCTGGTGACAGTGAATTATAAAACAGACTTCTACTATATCATTTGGTCTGAAGTGGATAGTTGTTTCATTGGCAATCATGCCACTTCTTCTTATTTTTATATTTGTTTAAAGTTGAACAGATTAGATGCGAGCAATGCAATCATCAATATTAGAATCATCCAGTAAAACGACATTAAAAGTTTATGAAGACACAGCAATGGTTTGATTAAGTTTAAGAGTGTTTAAGTCAAATGTTTGGTTTTTGTTTTTAATGTATTATTGCATGATGAGAGTACTTTGCTTATATGCACCTAACCATCCCTAGACTACTAAGGTAATTTCACATGAACTATGAAGCCCAAGAAAGAGAAAGCTGGTATTATTTATGCTAGTGGCGTTGAAAGAAGTGACAAGAGGCCTTTTACAGACCAAGCAATCAAACATTATTCGTAAGGTCGGTGGTCTGATTTAGGTGACCAGTGAGTAAAGTAACATTCAGTTTGTCATCTTTGGTTGAAATTCTAAAAATAAATATAATGTATCTATCATGATTGTCCAAGAATTTCTATAAAAAACTGCGTGTAATTTGATTTAAACATACATTTCATAAAAACACATTACAACTTGTTCTAAATAATCCAGTTTAATTGCTATTTTGCTCACCGTACTAACTGTGTAAATCATTAGAAGATCTGTTGGCCAATAGAGCAAAATTATGTTATGTACTTAACAAGTTTAAGTCAAACGATTGGTTTAAATAGGCGTCGGAAAAAACTGGAATATGCACTTTTCACCTTATCGCAATAAGTTGAAACAATAGATTATAAAAATAAGTTAATTATATGTTTTGAAACAATTATCACTGTCTTTGTACCATTCGGGAGGTCACTTTCTTAATAGAGAGTAAGTAGCAACAAAATAGTTTTGACAGTCAATGTATTGATGGCTGTATGCATACATGACATAAGAAATGACTGTATTTACATATATTAACGGCGGTTAATGTATTGACGGCTGCATGCATACATGACGTAAGAAATGACTGTATTTACATATATTAATGGCGCATGTATACATAACACAAAAAAAGACTGTATTTACATGTATTAACATTAATTAAGACGTTTGTTTTTAAAAACAAATTCAAGATTTAAGTAAAGATTCTAAATAGAAAGAACAGTAATTCTTGTTTTTTTTCATTCCCTCGAATGTAATAAAACAGTTTTTTTTTTAGATACATGTATTATAAGAAACACCATCATTCATCTGAAAAATCATAGCAAAGGGGAATAAGATGCAGCAACATGTAACAGACCTCTCCAATGTTTGCACAACGGTCTCAAATTTCTTATTTCTGATTTTACATAAAGTTCATTGAAAAAACAGATAAAAGACTGCAATAATTGCTCATGCTTATTTTTATATATACGATCAGTTGAAATGAACCTTGTGAAAACGCACCTATTTTTAACTGATCCTGAATACAATGGAGAACATTAATGCTTTTAATTTTTCCATTGAAATATATAGCTAACTGTTTTATGTATACACAGCCTTACCAGTAAGAATTTCGACCTTCTTTCCATGTGGCGACCTGTCCATAAATTTTCTAGCTAGGTCTACTAGGTATGAATCAAGTTCACAAGTGACGACCTTCCCGTCATCCGGCATAGCTTCCGCCATTCCTAATGCAGAACATCCAGTGAACATACCGACCTCAAGAACGTTTCTGGATTTAGAAGCACTGACTAAGAATTTTAATACATATCCTAAAAAGATAAACAAAATTTTAAAAGTTGAAATTTACATAGTTTCAAATTTACTAGATTTGTTCAGACATAAATTTTGAATGACAATATTGTTTATAAGCTTGGGGATAGCAATGTATATGTCTGCACACATTTTCTCTCAACGCACTCGTCTACGTTGTAAACTTATTTAATTCATGTCAACGGACTCTGTTAATGGAATAAGAAGAACGTATTAACATTAAACGCAATCAATGTGGAGCGAACAAATATAGATCAAAACCAATGAATAAGAACTGATCTCTCTCTCTCTCGTTGTATAATGCTTGCTTGTTTTTGTGTTTTTTATCTGTTTGCCTTTTCTTTTTCCTTTAAATATGTTTAACGCTCGCTTCATAATTGAACGCAATCAATGTGTGGAGATAACAAATATAGATCAAAACCAATGAATGAGAACTGATCTCTCTCTCTCTCGTTGTATTATGCTTGCTTGCTTATTTTTTTTCTCTCATCTGTTTTCTTTTTCTTTTTCTTTTAAATATGTTTAACGCTCGCTCGCTTCATAATTGAAAGCAATCATTCAATGAAGTATCGCTTTCCTACTTAGATATCCAAAGAAGTGTTATATTAGGTTTTATTATTGTCTGTATTTTACCCTCCAGATTTCCCGACATCATTCTAGGGGTGATATTCCATTTCGTTTTCCCTTCTTCGTATACGTTCTGCCAGGGATGTTCTAAAGTATCTTTTATCAGTGCTGCCATTGGCTCACTTGGTGTCGATGTCTTATTGTCGCAATAATCCTCTCGAGCCTTTCAATATAAAAAGGTGAAGGTATCGATTTCGGATATTTATGGATATGAAATACATATACAATGTACAGTATTTTCCTAAACAATCATTAGTGTGATAGTTGTTTGGCTTTCTCTCACTGCAATGAAGGGCTATTAAAACTTTTCAGATATAGCTCCATGTACTCGGCATGTTGCTTATCCTCGACTTAAATGGAAAGATATGTGATTCTGGTTTATTCTTTAACTTAATACAAAAAGAAAATGAAAATGTATGTTTAAAAGCTTTGTCTCACTTGAAGGAACTAGTCTTTTTTTATTACGTCTTCTATCAAAAATTATTTATAACTTTATTTTCAACCTGTTTGTATGGAAATACATAGGTAAAGGTGGCATGGAATTGCAGACTGCAGACTGCAATTTCATCAGTACAATCTGTATTCATCCAAGGAGTGATTAACGTTAAACAGGAAAATGTTTAAAAAAAACAACTTATCTTTATTGGCTGCGAAGGCCCCGGTTGTCAGATAAAAAAGATATGAACACTTTTACAACCACCCTTATTGCCTTATTGGCTGCCAAGTCTCAGGTTGTCAGATTAAAAAGATATAAACACTTTTACAACCACCCATATTGCATTATTGGCTGAACATTTAAGCTGGAACAATTATGGAAATATTTTGTCTGAACCATAAAGTAACATTACTTTAAGTACATATGTTTGATACCTTTGTCAAATCATCCACAGCCTGTATACCATTGATAATTGACTCGGGTACTCCCAGTGATTCGGCCTCTGCTTTCACCTCTCTCAGTTTATTTATCGCTGGATCTCGGCTACGTTTACTCATTTTTCCTGTAAAACCAGGAGAAGATGCAAAGGGGACAATTAAAAATAATAAGTCGAATAAAACACCATGGACACGAAATAGTCGAATAAAACACCATGGACAAAAAGTCGAATAAAACACCATGGACAAAAAGAAAAACATAGAAAAACGCCTACTTATATATTCACTTGTCTTTACAAAAATAATATTGATACATTGCATATAAATAAAAGATGGAGAGGGTAATAAATATACAATTTAACAATAAATAAATGTCTATACAATATGACAAGCTTAAAATCGATCTAGACAAAGTTATGAATAAATTTCACGGTATTCAAAAACATCTTCCATCAACACCACCGTCTTAAAAAACAAATAGCTGACTCAGAGGAAAGCTTCTTACGAGGTTCCTGACTCATGACAGGACACACGTTAGTATGTGCCTTTAAACCTGGATTATTGGAGTAACACATGGTCCTTTTATATCAGTATGGAAACATTACACGTTTGGATTATGCATTTTCCGAAATAAGATTTTCATCTAACAATATTTATATTTAAAGTTCCATATTGAAATCGTCCTGAATATGCATGAAAGATTTGTCAGTGGACGTTAAGCAACCAACAATCAATCAATCAATCCATATTGTTGATGGAAAAAGATTTAAATTTACAAATTACAGCCACTATTGCCTTGAACATGTTGAAGATAAAGATTATTTTATTTAGTCTGCAGTAATATGTTACATAGGTTCACAATCGACAAAAGAAAACAGTTTTGTTTTTCAAGTGCACGTACATTCCATAACAGGATATCTGTACTTTATTATGTAAATGGTTTTCCTTAATTTAACATGTTTAAAACATACCTTTTTCTTCCGTACTTTAACAGATCAATAATATCGCTCTAAATATTAACCTTGTATATTTAAAGTGTGTGTTTTATGATAATAAATCATATGACATATGACGCATACACTTGAGCAGCAAGTCAACAGGTGGAACGGTAGAAGTCTTTCTTTGGAAATTTGTTCCATTTTCTTAAATTTTCATTTCTTTTTCAAGAATCGGAACTTCTAACATTACACTTTTGACTAATATATTCAGGTATTTATATGCGATATTTTTTTGGGGGGAGGAGGTGACAGGGGGATTTATTACATATTAAAATCATATAGAACTTGTTATTTTAATAATGTTAAATCTTTTTGGCTGTATGGAATAGCTTTTATTTACCTCAGTTTGTTATTCGTCTGTAAATAAGAATGGTTTATTGAAATATGACACATTTGTCTAAACAAATTAATTCAGAAGAAAATACTGTTTAAATAAAAACTTTTATTTAGGCTTTGCAGGTAGTCATAATAATATATACATATGTCAAGATTATAATACAAATGAAATACAATGTGATCATAGATTATAACTGACAAATAAACTCTGAATTAAAGAACTACTAAGAGTATCTTAATAAATATAAAGAATGAAGCATAACAAAATAAAAATTCTATGAGATACAAATGAAATGTAAATTTCATACCCGCCTCATACAAACCTATTCCACATTTAGGGAAAGGGAGGGAGGGTTTTGAAAAATGAACAAACGACGAAACACAATGTTCATTAACAAATTAACTACGCTGATAGAAGTTTCAACGACAAACTAAGACTTATTTAAACATAAAAATTCTAAATTATTAAAATGTTGACTACCTGTTTTCTGGTGTTTCTGAAAAGTGAAAATCAGTAGTGAGTTCTACTTTTAAACTGAAATTTTTATCCAATATAAATTACTGTACTGCGTGACCAATATAAAACGTGTTTAAATTAAATTAGAAGTCAGCCCAAACTAAACCTTGACCAGAGATGTGTTCACTGTTAAATGAAGTGAGACCAATTGTCCATTTACCAATTCACTAAATTTTTTTTCTGATTCTTCAATAATTATTCATTTTTAATCAAAAATTTACAAATTAATTCAAAAGAAAATACTGTTTAAATAAAAACTTTTATTTAGGCTTTGCAGGTAGTCATAATAATATATACATATGTCAAGATTATAATACAAATGAAATACCATGTGATCATAGATTATAACTGACAAATAAACTCTGAATTAAAGAACTACTAAGAGTATCTTAATAAATATAAAGAATGAAGCATAACAAAATAAAAATTCTATGAGATACAAATGAAATGTAAATTTCATACCCGCCAAACCGAAGGTCCGCCAAACAAACAAATCTCAGAAACTGCAAATTGCAACTTTTATAATAAATCTAAAATAATTAGAGTGAGTCTACACCATCTTCTATAATCCAAGTCGAGGACTCGAACCTCGATCCCCCATCATAAGGACAGGTGTACTAACCATTGTACTAACAAGGATGCATGATAGAGTCAACAGTGTAAACCCTCTACAATAATAGAAAAACCTCATGTGGAGATTAAGAGTAAACCTTCTCCTAAAAATAAGCTGCAATTTACTAGTAAATTTGAATTTAAAATTCTTATTCAAACACAATCAAAATTCATTCTACTTCAAAAGATTTAAAGATGTGCAAGAGTATTAGCTATAAAGCTAAAAACCTTATTAAGACCAGTGGTGGACAAATGCAATTTGTCAATTGAAAACAAAGTGTTAATTGGCTTCCTCACTCTATTATAAAAAGTCTTCTCACATGCCATGTATCTGACATTAGTAAGAGAGGAAGCCAACTGTTTTAGTACATTGTTAAAATTGATGACGAACAATTCAGAATGATTAAAATCACATGGCCTGGGTAATATTGAAGATAAAATAATAACACAATCTGGATTACAAATCCTCAATTCATGTATAATATCACGAATGTACTTCTCAAATAAATTAGTATTAATGTTAAATACATCATTTGTACCCACATGTACAATTATATTGTTAAAATGATACCAGGTGAATACCCTGTTTTTTAATTTCCTTAAAAGCATTTCGCAACGCAGCCCACCAAAGGCCTGGAGTTGCGTATTTCTCATCTCCGGAAGATACTTTAAAATTGAATCTGATATTACTAAACTGGGTTTACCCCATGCCTTCAAACCTACAATATAATGTAAATTATTGACTACTAATAAAATTATAATTCAAAATAAACAACATATATCATAGTCTACAAATAATTTTTGACGAGACTTGCATCTTGTCGTCTAAACCATATCTAAGATACAATTTATAGGCGTCACTCTTTCAATCCCCTTGTAATTGAATGAGTTCAGAAGATACACCACATTGGAATGACCAAGTTGCACCTCCTCTTCTGAAGCTATGAGATGAGTATTTTGTTGGATCTAACCCAATTTTCTCAATAATGTTTTTTAAAAATGTCTGTAACATATTGTAGGACACTGGCTTAGTTTTTCTACCAGATAATACAAGAAAAGCTGGGGAAGATGCTGAAACAAGAAATGTTTTGTTTGTTCATTTTTCAAAACCCTCCCTCCCTTTCCCTAAATGTGGAATAGGTTTGTATGAGGCGGGTATGAAATTTACATTTCATTTGTATCTCATAGAATTTTTATTTTGTTATGCTTCATTCTTTATATTTATTAAGATACTCTTAGTAGTTCTTTAATTCAGAGTTTATTTGTCAGTTATAATCTATGATCACATTGTATTTCATTTGTATTATAATCTTGACATATGTATATATTATTATGACTACCTGCAAAGCCTAAATAAAAGTTTTTATTTAAACAGTATTTTCTTCTGAATTAATTTGTTTAGACAAATGTGTCATATTTCAATAAACCATTCTTATTTACAGACGAATAACAAACAGGTAAATAAAAGCTATTCCATACAGCCAAAAAGATTTAACATTATTAAAATAACAAGTTCTATATGATTTTAATATGTAATAAATCCCCCTGTCACCTCCTCCCCCCAAAAAAAATATCGCATATAAATACCTGAATATATTAGTCAAAAGTGTAATGTCAGAAGTTCCGATTCTTGAAAAAGAAATGAAAATTTAAGAAAATGGAACAAATTTTCCAAAGAAAGACTTCTACCGTTCCACCTGTTGACTTGCTGCTCAAGTGTATGCGTCATATGTCATATGATTTATTATAATAAAACACACACTTTAAATATACAAGGTTAATATTTAGAGCGATATTATTGATCTGTTAAAGTACGGAAGAAAAAGGTATGTTTTAAACATGTTAAATTAAGGAAAACCATTTACATAATAAAGTACAGATATCCTGTTATGGAATGTACGTGCACTTGAAAACAAAACTGTTTTCTTTTGTCGATTGTGAACCTATTTAACATATTACTGCAGACTAAATAAAATAATCTTTATCTTCAACATGTTCAAGGCAATGGTGGCTGTAATTTGTAAATTTAAATCTTTTTCCATCAACAATATGGATTGATTGATTGATTGTTGGTTGCTTAACGTCCACTGACAAATCTTTCATGCATATTCAGGACGATTTCAATATGGAACTTTAAATATAAATATTGTTAGATGAAAATCTTATTTCGGAAAATGCATAATCCAAACGTGTAATGTTTCCATACTGATATAAAAGGACCATGTGTTACTCCAATAATCCAGGTTTAAAGGCACATACTAACGTGTGTCCTGTCATGAGTCAGGAACCTCGTAAGAAGCTTTCCTCTGAGTCAGCTATTTGTTTTTTAAGACGGTGGTGTTGATGGAAGATGTTTTTGAATACCGTGAAATTCATTCATAACTTTGTCTAGATCGATTTTAAGCTTGTCATATTGTATAGACATTTATTTATTGTTAAGTTGTATATTTATTACCCTCTCCATCTTTTATTTATATGCAATGTATCAATATTATTTTTGTAAAGACAAGTGGATATATAAGTAGGCGTTTTTCTATGTTTTTCTTTTTGTCCATGGTGTTTTATTCGACTTTTTGTCCATGGTGTTTTATTCGACTATTTCGTGTCCATGGTGTTTTATTCGACTTATTATTTTTAATTGTCCCCTTTGCATCTTCTCCTGGTTTTACAGGAAAAATGAGTAAACGTAGCCGAGATCCAGCGATAAATAAACTGAGAGAGGTGAAAGCAGAGGCCGAATCACTGGGAGTACCCGAGTCAATTATCAATGGTATACAGGCTGTGGATGATTTGACAAAGGTATCAAACATATGTACTTAAAGTAATGTTACTTTATGGTTCAGACAAAATATTTCCATAATTGTTCCAGCTTAAATGTTCAGCCAATAATGCAATATGGGTGGTTGTAAAAGTGTTTATATCTTTTTAATCTGACAACCTGAGACTTGGCAGCCAATAAGGCAATAAGGGTGGTTGTAAAAGTGTTCATATCTTTTTTATCTGACAACCTGAGACTTGGCAGCCAATAAAGATAAGTTTTTTTTTTTTTTAAACATTTACCTGTTTAACGTTAATCACTCCTTGGATGAATACAGATTGTACTGATGAAATTGCAGTCTGCAGTCTGCAATTCCATGCCACCTTTACCTATGTATTTCCATACAAACAGGTTGAAAATAAAGTTATAAATAATTTTTGATAGAAGACGTAATAAAAAAAGACTAGTTCCTTCAAGTGAGACAAAGCTTTTAAACATACATTTTCATTTTCTTTTTGTATTAAGTTAAAGAATAAACCAGAATCACATATCTTTCCATTTAAGTCGAGGATAAGCAACATGCCGAGTACATGGAGCTATATCTGAAAAGTTTTAATAGCCCTTCATTGCAGTGAGAGAAAGCCAAACAACTATCACACTAATGATTGTTTAGGAAAATACTGTACATTGTATATGTATTTCATATCCATAAATATCCGAAATCGATACCTTCACCTTTTTATATTTTAAGGCTCGAGAGGATTATTGCGACAATAAGACATCGACACCAAGTGAGTCAATGGCAGCACTGATAAAAGATACTTTAGAACATCCCTGGCAGAACGTATACGAAGAAGGGAAAACGAAATGGAATATCACCCCTAGAATGATGTCGGGAAATCTGGAGGGTAAAATACAGACAATAATAAAACCTAATATAACACTTCTTTGGATATCTAAGTAGGAAAGCGATACTTCATTGAATGATTGCTTTCAATTATGAAGCGAGCGAGCGTTAAACATATTTAAAAGAAAAAGAAAAAGCAAACAGATGAGAGAAAAAAAACAAGCAAGCAAGCATAATACAACGAGAGAGAGAGAGATCAGTTCTCATTCATTGGTTTTGATCTATATTTGTTATCTCCACACATTGATTGCGTTCAATTATGAAGCGAGCGTTAAACATATTTAAAAGAAAAAGAAAAGGCAAACAGATAAAAAACACAAAAACAAGCAAGCATTATACAACGAGAGAGAGAGAGATCAGTTCTTATTCATTGGTTTTGATCTATATTTGTTCGCTCCACATTGATTGCGTTTAATGTAAATACGTTCTTCTTATTCCATTAACAGAGTCCGTTGACATGAATTAAATAAGTTTACAACGTAGACGAGTGCGTTGAGAGAAAATGTGTGCAGACATATACATTGCTATCCCCAAGCTTATAAACAATATTGTCATTCAAAATTTATGTCTGAACAAATCTAGTAAATTTGAAACTATGTAAATTTCAACTTTTAAAATTTTGTTTATCTTTTTAGGATATGTATTAAAATTCTTAGTCAGTGCTTCTAAATCCAAAAACGTTCTTGAGGTCGGTATGTTCACTGGATGTTCTGCATTAGGAATGGCGGAAGCTATTCCGGATGACGGGAAGGTCGTCACTTGTGAACTTGATTCATACCTAGTAGACCTAGCTAGAAAATTTATGGACAGGTCGCCACATGGAAAGAAGGTCGAAATTCTTACTGGTAAGGCTGTGTATACATAAAACAGTTAGCTATATATTTCAATGGAAAAATTAAAGGCATTAATGTTCTCCATTGTATTCAGGATCAGTTAAAAATAGGTGCTGTTTTGCGTTTTCACAAGGTTCATTTCAACTGATCGTATATATAAAAATAAGCATGAGCAATTATTGCAGTCTTTTATCTGTTTTTTCAATGAACTTTATGTAAAATCAGAAATAAGAAATTTGAGATCGTTGTGCAAACATTGGAGAGGTCTGTTACATGTTGCTGCATCTTATTCCCCTTTGCTATGATTTTTCAGATGAATGATGGTGTTTCTTATAATACATGTATCTAAAAAAAAAAACTGTTTTATTACATTCGAGGGAATGAAAAAAACCAAGAATTACTGTTCTTTCTATTTAGAATCTTCACTTAAATCTTGAATTTGTTTTTAAAAACAAACGTCTTAATTAATGTTAATACATGTTAATACAGTCTTTTTTTTGTGTTATGTATACATGCGCCATTAATATATGTAAATACAGTCATTTCTTACGTCATGTATGCATGCAGCCGTCAATACATTAACCGCCGTTAATATATGTAAATACAATCATTTCTTATGTCATGTATGCATACAGCCATCAATACATTGACTGTCAAAACTATTTTGTTGCTACTTACTCTCTATTAAGAAAGTGACCTCCCGAATGGTACAAAGACAGTGATAATTGTTTCAAAACATATAATTAACTTATTTTTATAATCTATTGTTTCAACTTATTGCGATAAGGTGAAAAGTGCATATTCCAGTTTTTTCCGACGCCTATTTAAACCAATCGTTTGACTTAAACTTGTTAAGTACATAACATAATTTTGCTCTATTGGCCAACAGATCTTCTAATGATTTACACAGTTAGTACGGTGAGCAAAATAGCAATTAAACTGGATTATTTAGAACAAGTTGTAATGTGTTTTTATGAAATGTATGTTTAAATCAAATTACACGCAGTTTTTTATAGAAATTCTTGGACAATCATGATAGATACATTATATTTATTTTTAGAATTTCAACCAAAGATGACAAACTGAATGTTACTTTACTCACTGGTCACCTAAATCAGACCACCGACCTTACGAATAATGTTTGATTGCTTGGTCTGTAAAAGGCCTCTTGTCACTTCTTTCAACGCCACTAGCATAAATAATACCAGCTTTCTCTTTCTTGGGCTTCATAGTTCATGTGAAATTACCTTAGTAGTCTAGGGATGGTTAGGTGCATATAAGCAAAGTACTCTCATCATGCAATAATACATTAAAAACAAAAACCAAACATTTGACTTAAACACTCTTAAACTTAATCAAACCATTGCTGTGTCTTCATAAACTTTTAATGTCGTTTTACTGGATGATTCTAATATTGATGATTGCATTGCTCGCATCTAATCTGTTCAACTTTAAACAAATATAAAAATAAGAAGAAGTGGCATGATTGCCAATGAAACAACTATCCACTTCAGACCAAATGATATAGTAGAAGTCTGTTTTATAATTCACTGTCACCAGGAAATCGACAGGAGTGTCTGTGGACTTTAACACTTCCTTTTATTAAACTGTCATGATGTACACCAACTTTACAGCAGCACTGCATTTGGAGTATACATATCTCATTTTATGTAATCTTCAGGAGATTGATTTGATATAGAGTTGTTACTAACACACAAACCGTTGAACGTTGGGTTCTAGTGATCATATTGAAGTTGCCAGCCTATCTTCGAACATTTAAAGGGAGCCACAACAATTTGATTGACATTTACAGAATATGTTGGTCGTAGCCATAACACTCTCTCACTATGCTCACTCATGACTTGTTATCGAAATTGTAACATGACTACTGCAGAATACATGAGTCACCCAATGCTCTTAATTGGGTATTTGCTGCTAAATGGATCATAGTTTTCTGTCTTATATTTAGTTAAATTGTTTTTCCTTTTTTCCTTTAAATTACGCATGGTCTTTTTTTCGTTGTATGCACGCACTCTCTACTGACATATCACTGATTTTTTTCGTTGTATACACACACTTTATACTGACATATCACAGATATTTTTCGTTATATACACATACTTTATACTGACATATCACAGATTTTTTTTCGTTGTATACACAACTCTATACTAACACATCACAGGTTGTTTTCATTGTATACACACACTCTATACTAACATATCACAGATTGTTTTTGTTGTATACACACACTCTATACAGACATATCACAGATTTCTGAATTATACTGTTGCAATGTCATTTTGTGAGGGAGAAAATGACCCCTGCCAAATTCATATAAGATCACTAATTACACTTAACTTAAGACATACAATTGCTGCATGTTATGAATCAGGGGATATGTAAGTCATATATTTAATGCGACAGCAATCCAACAGCACAATAAATATACATCCAGAGGAATAAATCGTATTTTCATTAACAAACAATCATGTAAACCATACCATATGTCAACATCTCAATCGCTGTGTGTTAAATTGTAAATAAATTATAACCTAAGATCTGAATTTCCTTTAAATAAAGATTTTTAAACTATTTGTACCAAATTTTCGTTTATTAAATGCAATTAATGGTTGACTCCCCCTCCATTTTCAAGCATGACTACCATTGCTACTTATCATTTAAAATGCATCGATCTGCCATTCGCAATTTTTGGTTAAATTGTTTATAATCTCACTTAATAATATATTAGCTAATGACAGCAAGGAACTGTTCTTTGGAACATTTAAAAAAAGTGCACAAGATCAGTTCATGAGTTTCTTTCTTCCTATATCGTTTTAGGTCCAGCAATAGAAAGTTTAAATAGTTTGGCTAAGAAAAATGAGAAGTTTGATTTCATCTTCATAGACGCTGATAAAGCGGGCTATTGTGATTATTTTAATGTAAGTGTATCATTAACAATTAGAAAAAAGATAATTTAAAAAAGCAAACAATTTCTAACATAATATTAGAATCATCGTTAAAAAGACCTAATCAACATATAATATTTATAGAATGGTCATAGTATGAATCTGTTTTATAAACGTGTATCAATTCAAATATTTTACTTCATATTTATTGAATATAAATATATGAAATTATGTATATGATCTTTACATATTTGACAACACATGATGATAGATTGTTTATACATTCAGAGAAACAGGTTAAACTTTATATAAAAATAAGAATAAATTAAGGTATGATTGTCAATGAGACAATATAATTTTACATTTATGCACTTTTACTCTTTTTACAATATAACTTCCATACCACAGTTCCGATGTATGTAATTCACGTACATTTGATTATATTTCAAGATATGCTTCTCCGAACTTCTCGCTCCCAGAGGTACTATTGCCATGGACAATGCCTTATTTAGAGGTAAACCGTACGTGGAAGATACACCACCTGACGAAGGCGTTACCAAGTTTAACAACATGATCGTGACGAGAAAAGATATTTATTATGTAAGTATCGTACTAGAAATTCTAACTTACTAGACGTCGGGATATACACATTATAACTTACTAGACGTCGGGATATACACATTATAACTTACTAGACGTCGGGATATACACATTATAACTTACTAGAAGTCGGGATATACACATTATAACTTACTAGACGTCGGGATATACAAATTATAACTTACTAGACATCGAGATATACACATTATAACTTACTAAACGTCGGGATATACACATTATAACTTACTAGACGTCGGGATATACACATTATAACTTAGTAATACTAGACGTCGCGATATACACATTATAACTTACTAGACGTCGATATATGAACATTATAACTTACTAGACTTCGGGATATATATAGATTCTACCACTGCATCGAGTGTGATACGATATTTATCCACTCGAGACAGTTAAATTTTCAAATTTAAAACGCGAGGCTCGCCGAGCGTTTTAAATATTTAAAATTTAACTGCCGAGAGTGGATAAATATCGTATTACACGAGATCACGAGATTTGGTGGTGGAATCTGTTTCTCTAATGATTTTCAAACAATATGCAGGCAAAGTTATTCCTTCTTTTTGAATAATCTGCAAAAAGATGTGTTCTTTCTATGTGACGTCATCAGGAATGGTCGCCTTTTTTCATGCCGTCACAATAGGAAATTCAGAGAATAGCAAGAAAATTCGACGTCATAATCGGATTTTAACCAATGAAGAACTGAGATCAAACGAACCACACGTTGATTAAATTTTTTTTACACAATGGGTGCAGAAAGGGATAAATTGACGAAGAATTAGAGAAACACATTATAACTTACTAGACGTCGGGATATACACATTATAACTTACTAGACGTCGGGATATACACATTATAACTTACTAGACGTCAGGATATACACATTTAAAAATCATGTTTTGGTTAATCAACCTAAAACTTCATACAAAGATATTCAATGAACAGATTAAATGAAATCTGATAATGTTATACTGACAGTCTCAACATAGTTTTGAATTAAAACTAAACGTGTTGACAAAACAATTGATCTATAACACGTTACAAATATTATCATATCTGCATCTTTCATACACAAAATCATTAAAATATAGTCATTTAATGCAATATTTCAAAATCTACATTTTGTAAATGATAGGCAAAGAACCGACCACAAGTATTTGACTTTGACAAATCATTTCAAATATAAGATCTTACTCACATAACATTTTTGTGGTTTGTTTACAAAAACTATTCCAATTAAAGAAAAACTCAAGAAAAAATCAAATCTTTTAAATAATGATAACTGAAAATTACCTCTCATATATATATATATATAGTTGAAATGCTCTAGTTTTTTCTCAAACTATGTCGTAATCTAAACGCATCTGCAATATGCTTTTTCACTACAATTTCTTTTATCGACAGTCACAACCGTGCTTTACTTCAGTGATGCTATGAAAATACCTACTAAATCAGATGTGTATACCAAAATGTTTTTAAATCTGCCAGAGTACCTATAAACAAAGTCCATCTCTTAGTTTCTAACAAAATTTATTTAAAACTGAAATCATGAAGATGCTTGATTTTCTGGTTGAAATAAAATACATTTGTTATGTTTGTTTGACGAAGTTTTGCATTGGAATTCAACTATTTTCCCTTTTTCCTCGACTTTTTTTTCTCATTTGCTTGACTCCATATATGATTTTAAAAGAACATCTTAAAGATATCCTTTCAATTTGTGACCTTAAGAAGTAATTATCTCTCTGGAACACCTGTATAACCCAGTGTTTTGCCGGGTTTTTAAGGTGCTCATTCCGTTTAGATCTACACATATGCATGTGTGTATTTTTCAAAGAAAATTGTTGCTCTGTTCGTCTTCCTTCTTTCATCAACGGGTTTTTTTTTTTCAACTTATGAATTTTGACACCTCTTGGAATCTTTTTTTTTCATTCTCACAATTGGCCCTTGTAAACAAAAAACAACAAACATTTTCCCCAAAATGATTGACGAAGTGCAAAACACAAACATAGTATCTAAATTCACACCTTTCATTAACAAACATTTGAAGTCTGTTGATATCACCGAGACTATTGAGTAAACATATTAGCCTTTGTTTAAGAATAATTAAAAATAATATTGCCATTAAATAAAAACGAAAATAACTTCCAGATCGTTAGACAAATCACTGAATTATGAAAACAATGCAAGGCATAAATATTTGCAATCTTCATACAAACAAGTAGTCAACGGATCCAAACTATTATTTCAGATATTCATGGTTGCATTTTTATTTGTTAAGTGTTGACAAGTCATTCTTATTTGTAAATATATCGGTGATTGTCACCCATTCATTAAACACTTGACTTATATGTATTCCCGTTAATATGAGAACATTTCTTCTTATTCAATTTGGTTGCTGTTTCAGTGAAGGTAACCTTATATTTCTTTTATTCATGCAAACGTACTAGTATACCACAACGATAATGTTTAATTGTGTTATTCAATGATATTAATTTCGTGAAATCAGGAAAATTTTCCTTTCCAATAGTTACAAAACTATTTAAATTAATCAGGATTTTAAAGAGAATTAAAAGTTAAGCATTCAAAAGATGTGACAAACGTCGCTGATGCCAGCGATGCTTGGAGTAGAAAAATCGTAGTGTTTCTGTGGCTGAGACCACTCATCTATGTATGGGCGTAGACAAACGTAAGCGTTTCTGTGGCTAAGGCCATCGATGTCTAAGGTATTCAAACCTTAGTGTTTCTGTGGCTTAGGCCATCGATGACTGGGGTAGGCAAACCTTAGTGTTTCTGTTGATAAGTCCATCTATGCTGGGGGTAAACAACCAAAAAGTAAATTAACGGACCCTGACCGTGTCATTAATCTTTCTTGTAGCAAAAAAATGTTGACTAAATCTCCAACAAAAAGCTGCATTCAATTTTCCAATCCTAATCATTCCTTTCAATGTAGCAAAATTCCAGGGTCGTCTACAGACAGAGCACAAGTCATTAAACAAAAGTATTATCCGAAGCTAAAATCGTCACTCTCCTCAACGCCAACACAAGTTTCTTAACCGTTACCCAATATCTGCTTGAAAGATATGTACTATTTGGCAAAACGGCAAATTCTTGCCCTTTTCCTCTTATATAACATCACTGTATGCCAATCATCTCACATTGTTTAATTGTCGTTTGCCGAACAACCTTAGTGCACAACAAGGGTGGCATTGCCCTGTTCAATCTGTATAGTGTTTTGTTGACATTTTTGGGTCTTTTTCTCTCTTTTTGGTAATTGATGTTGTCTTCGTTAACCAGTGTTTTTATTTTAGAAAAGAGCTCGAATATTTATTTCATTGAAAATTGATTCTAAAGGTGTGAACAGAGTGTCAGTGTTGTGGAAAAGTGTAAGGCCTAAATCAATACGATAGAGGTTGTTAACGGCCTTTTATTTCGATATGGCTTAGAAGTTCAGGAAAATGTAATTTATAGAATTCTACCTCAAACGAACAACTGGATTACTTTATTTGATACATAAATCAAACAAATGTTCTGTCCAGAAGATGAAAATCTCTTTCAAAGAACTAAAATATAATGTGTATCGCAATTATAAAACAATTAAAACCCTTTTCACCATGCAATATACATTTAACTGTTCCGGCCTATACAAATTCAAGTTTCTACTCTAAATTGAACCAACAACTAAAATGATTAAAATTGTTTATACGACAAAACGTACACAATAATAACTTGTGTTTGAATAAACAAGTCTTCATGTGTAAAAATAATAACGGCAGATAAAAAGATATTAATGAGAACAAATTGCATGATAATTAGTATACTGTTTCAAATTATAAAGATTCTACCCATAGTGATGGTACATGGGATAATCTCAGGCAAGTATCTTCATTCAAAATTTTATAAAATTCATAAACTTGTTCTCTCTTTTGAAGTGACGATCTGGTTGACTGTTACTGAATATCTGTCAGAGAATCCAAATGACTGACAGACGCATTGACAGATTTGGTTGACTGTTACTGAATATCTGTCAGAGAATCCAAATGACTGACAGATGCATTGACAGATTTGGTTGACTGTTACTGAATATCTGTCAGAGAATCCAAATTACTGGCAGACACATTGACAGATTTCACTAGTAGTGCAATAACTGCGTACATGATTACGCTAGTGTTTGGTGTGGCCTATTTTGTTTTAAGAGTTTAGTCTCAAAAGAATTATTTTGCAGACTGTTGTTTTCTTGTGTTTTGTTGGTTTTTTTTGCAATGGTTTCGTCTGCCTCTCTTTGACTAACGGTTTTCCATTGCCCCTTGCGTATGTGTCCTTTTGGAACTATTTAAAATATTTTGCAATAATTTCTGAATTTTCCCTGGAGTTCGGTATTTTTTTATTTTACTTTTTTCTACCACATAAGTAGAAGAACGCTTTCGAGTTTTTTGTAAATATTTCGTAGGACATTGCTTTAAAGGATCATTAACTACGAAGTTGACAAAAATCAAATTATAATTGTTATTTCAAACATTTATAAAAGCGGCATTGTGAAATAGTGTTTTGGTTCAATTTTGTCAAAATAATCTCAAAAAACACCGATGATGTATTATTGGCTTGTAAGTCGATAATTCAACTCAATGACATATGAATCCGTATTCATGCGAACTTCAATTTATCTTGGATGGGCTATGCATAGGCTAATCGTGTTTAGCTATACAAAGATTGATTGTTTGATTGATTGTTGCTTAATGCAACTTTCAGCACTATTGTGCTATTTCGCTGCTGTCAGTTTTCATCTGTGGAGGAAGTCGGACTGCACGGATAGAACCACCGAACTTTTGTAGCAAAACTGACAATCCTAGCCAATTGGAGTAGAGCGGACCTGCCACGCGCGGGATTTGAACTCGCAACCTCAGTGTTGACAGGTTTGTGATACAGTAGTTCGACTACTTAGACCAGTCGACAACCGAGGCCCCTTATAAAAAAGAAAAGAATGTCAAAATTGAAAAGTGAAACAAGGCTGACACCGGGAAGATCCCTTTTGTTGACTGATTCTGCACACACAGAATCATTCCAAAACGATGATTTTACATGTTTTTAAATCTATGACATGAAATCAAACATATCTAGAAAATCGTTATTATACGATTGTACGTGCTTGCCTATGTATGTTTATACATAGTTATGTTTACATCAGGCCATATGACCTACGGAATTCTGCAGAATTAGATGGCGTCTATTTAAAATTCACACGAAATGTTGATACATTATAACAGTCCATGCATTGTAAATTGTTTCTTTATGACTTTTAGTGATTTTGTTAGACGTTTTATAAAAGTAATAAAACGTGGTATAATTGTCAATGAGACAACTGTCCACCAGAGACCAAATGACATAGAAGTTAACAACTATAGGTCACCGTACGACCTTCAAACATTAGAGAGTGGAAGCTACGAAGGAGGTTATCAAACTCATAAGTTTACAGCCGATTTCAATGAGTGTGTAGGAAAAGGTAATATCTTTTGGTTAGCTTGCTTGCTAGCTGAACCGTGAAGTCATTATTAGGTTAGGTAAACTACCCTCCTTTTTAGTAGACTATTCCGACAGACAGATAGAATTGGTTACCTGTGGGACTAGTCTACTCATTAAAATCGGCAGTAAGGAAAAGAAACACATTAACGACCAACAGAAAACGACGACAAGGCAAATAAAAGTCAAGAAAGCGCCACTGATGCATCTTTATAAAGTTATGTTTTCATTGTTAGTACACACATCATGAGTTTTTCATGCCTTTTTGAATACGCTCCTTACTAAAACTATTGGACGATGTTTGGAAGTATTTAAACCAGGCATATAGATAAGACCTAAAACTATTTATGATCAGTTCTGCCTCAAGGAGTTGCAACACTTGCTGAAGAAAGTATATTACAGATTAAAAAAAAATATATCTACATCTTCTTCTAGAAATGAATAAAGTTAGCGACTCAGAGCTGGATCATTCTTCCAGTTATGTGTAAAATAGATTATTTTCTACTTCAATGTAATTTCTTCAAAAAAAATAGAAATTCTTATTGAATTGTATGCAACACTACTTTCACTGGTATGGATTTAAAAAATATATTAAAATGTAATTTCAAACACTAAGAACACCCAATTATACTGAAACAACAACCCTTTTACGAAAAACAAAACCAATAAATAAAAACCTTCTATAGCCTGATTTGATAAGAGATATTCAGAACATCGAAGAATAAAAATAAATAAAACTCCTGAAAATACAGCTATTTGAAGATTAATTAAAACTCGAACAAAGATGTATGTTACCAAAATTGTAAAAGGCTATGTGAGTTCTAATTAGCATGCAACTGTATTGGCTCAATCAATTATTCCACATCAAACTTTAGGGATTATCATCCGTTCATGTCTTCCTTTCTTCTAACAAGCATTATTCCATCTCTTACTGGCATTAACACCTAAGGAAAAACATGTTTTTTCAATTAAAATTATTTATTCATATCAATCTTCTGAAACAATTAATCTACTCGATTTTATCATAGGTGGTTCTATTTGTATCTCCAGGCAGTGCATATATAGAACAAAAGTAAACTTGGCAAGTACTAAAGACAATAGAATTTAATCATTCATTATAACTTTAAAAAAAAAAAGACAAAAGCAAATGCAGTTAACCTTTGATATTACATACCAGTCTTTATTTAGAAAACGTTGACTCCATTTCCTGATTATATTTAGATAAAAGTATAACACGAACATGTAAAATATTGTAAATAGATATAAGAAGATGTGGTATGAGTGCCAATGAGACAACTCTCCATCCAAGTCACAATTTATAAAAGTAAACCATTATAGGTTAAAGTATGGCCTTCAACATGGAGCCTTGGCTCACACCGCACAGCAAGCTATAAAGGGCCCCAATATGCCTTTTTTAGTCCCAGAAAGTACTTACAATTGTTACTGTTAGTTATTTTTGTAGAACTAACCTGAACAAGTGATACATTCACTTTATCTGAACGTTGATAGATAGTTGTTATATGGCAATCATACCACATCTCCTTATTTTTATATTAAGAACTATCAACTTTAATTCCGTGTATATGCAAGTTTAGCAAGAGACATTTACCCTGTCGACTCACCTAGCTCATTTTGGAGTTCATTCAATTCCCTAACTTTTTTGTTTTGACCTTGATTTGTATTTATGAGATTTGAACATCGATAAGCTACCATTGCCTCTAATTTGAAGATCATTTAATCTTCATAGATAGTTTCTCATTTGTAATTATATCATTTTTCTTTATTTAAGTTAAATGCTCCATTTTCTGCGTTAAAACTATGTACCTTGGTAAATTGCATTAACGGTACATGATTATTTATTCATATTTCATTGGCAACGTTTGCTTGTTTCACAATGCAACTATATTCTAGTTGCCTTTTTTGCATGTCATGAATGAATACATACATGATAAACATCATCCCTGGTCATTAGCATATCGTTAAACCTTTTTATTGGTTCATCCTCAGGCGAGTCTTTTAAATACGGTTTACCATGGTGTAATGCGTTGTCCAGAGCAATAGTACCACCTGGTGCTAAAAGGTCTTTTATCGATACCTAAAACATATTTATACATGTATAACATTGCATATATAGAAACAAAAACAAAAGGCTGGATTGTATTCGCTATGTAATTATAAGAATTAAATGCTTCTTTTTGTAATTTTATATGGTTTTAAAAGTCACTACATTTCTATTCATAACTGTCGACGTTCGTAAATTGACCATTGTAGACGCTACGTGCAAAAGTTATTTTCTATTAAAAACAGTATTAATTTCAATGACTAAAAATCGTTGTAGTTGTTTCAAATGTAAATACTACTTGATAAGTCGAATATAATAGCTGATTGCAATAAAGGAAAAACAATCATATAAAAATGGAATCCTTTACCAGGTGAGCGATAAAGGCACTTATGAGCCTCTTGACTACTTTCATTTCGATGTTACTGTTGTTGTCCACGCGGACATGATCCGCATAGAATCCTAACATGAAAGGTATCATCTGCACTGCATTTTATTTTTAATATTTGGACGAGAGGTAAAACAATTATTTAAACTTGCCTGTCCCAAGTCAAGATCCCCATCAATGGTTATTTGTTGTGATATATATATATTTGTTGACTTTAATATTCTTATGTATTTCATTTAAAATCATACTACTTCTCCCTATTTTTATGTTATTAACAACCTGACCAGTCTCGAAGATTGACATACAAGTATTCAATGGCACTCTGTTATTTGAGAATGAATTATGCTGGCTGTACATTATCATTGTGTGTGTATTGTTGGTTTGTTGTCTAATCGGCATTTAACACACACATTTTTTTTTATTCATATACCTTCTATATGTTTTGTTGCTTGTTTTACGTGGAAATTATAGTTTGTCCAGTACTGATTAATATTCAAAAGATGGAATAATCTTTATGTAACTCAATAATGCCAATTATAATGCATTTAAGTGAACTCTAATACTCACATTAAAATAGTCACAATAACCCGGTTTATCCGCATCTATAAAGATGAAGTCGAATTTCTCTCCTTTCTTGCCAAGGTCATTTAAGCTGTCTAAAGCAGGACCTAAAATTGAGAATATTGAAAGCTGAGTATTTGCATGTTACAAAGGAGTCGGTATTGGCTGTGTTGTGATTTGTTGTAATGTACTAGTTATTTTTGACAATTCCTGTTATTCCAGTTCATGTTTTAAATCTTAACAGATGAACCTACCTATAGACTTTGTTTTAAAAGAAAAAAGGATGAACATAAATTTAAAATAATAGTAGTTTAATATGACATTAAAGCTTAGAATAAATAGTGAACACAAACCTTCAAGAATAGTTATCTTTTTTCCGTGCGGGGACCTGTCCAAAAATGTTCTAGTTAATTTCACCAAGTATGGGTCAAATTCACAGGTCACGACCTTCCCGTCATCTGGCATTACTTCCGCCATACCAAGGGCGCCACAACCAGTTAACATCCCAACTTCTAAAACTCTTTTCGCTTTTGATGCACTGACAAAAAATTTGAGAACGTAGCCTGAAACAGATGTATTATAAAGTCTACAAAAGAGGAAGAAAGTACCAAAGAAAAATACAGAAAACTAAATAATGACCCAACTAAAAACGGGGGTGAAATCAGGCGCTCCGGATTGTCAAACACGCCCCCTGCTCTACTAGTGGCACCCGTCACTATTCTTTGGTGGTGGTGGGTGTGTGGGGGAGGGGGGGTTGCAGTATCATTTAACTACTATAGCTATCATAGAAAATTAATTAACTAGAACAACTGGAACAAAACATACATAATATTCTAAACACAACAAACATATTTTGACTCTTCGAATAACCAGTTTTTTAATCTATGTTTTATTTGTTTTCATTTTGTTTTCACCTTCAAGATTTCCCGACAACATTCTAATACGTATATTCCATTTTGTTTTTCCTTCACTAAACACCTGTTGCCATGGATGCTCTATTGTATCTTTCATAAGTTTTGATAATGCATCACTTGGCTCTGACGTTTTACCATCGCAGTAGGTTTCTCTTGCCTGTAAAGAATTTAAGATAAATAAGCTGTAAGACAATGCATTACAATATCAAAGGAGAGAGAGATAGAGAAATCATTAATAATAACATAATCAGGTCATTGCCACACTATTTACTATTTTCTCTCGTGTCATTCCATGTTTGGAGTCTAAATTAAAAACAATAGAAATTTTTTTTCTTTGCCAAAATGTAGTTTAGAAGATAGCTCTTATATAAATATGCGTTCAGAAAACTAAATAGAAAAATTAGGGTCAGGGAACTCATGTTCTTGCTACAAAAAAAGGAAAATTTACTATACATTCCTTTATAACATAACGTTATCTTGGCTATCCCTCTTATATGGTTGAGCTAGACAAAAGTTGATTCAAACAAAAAACAGTTTTCTGTTTTTGTAAATACAGTCGTTGTAATAAGTTTAAACACTTCATTTAGACGAAAAGTACTTCACATCCAATATTTCATGGTAATATTCTTTACAAAGCACAAAAATATCGGCATTCACCTCAAAAGCTAACGAAACCTTTAAACAGACTTATTCGGAAAGGATATAGTTACGATACTGTTGTCAAGTCATTAAGGATTGCATATTTTTGGTATTAATATTGATTCACTTATAGGGTCTTTGCATCGGAAATAAACACATTTATTCTAAAACCAGTTGTTGGCATGATACGGGTTATGTTCTTCTCATATATTTTATGATGGTATGATACTAAACCCCTAACGGGAGGGATTGTACTTGATTTTCATATGATGAAGACATAATCTTTCAATCATTTTAATTGAGGTCTGGAGCTGGCATGTCAGTAACTGCTAGTAGTCCTTTGTTCATTTATGTATCATTGTCATTTTGCTCAGTTTCTTTTGTTATCTATTCTGAAATCGGACTCGGACTTCTTTTAAACTGAGTTTTACTTTGCGTATTGCTATGTGTTACTTTATTCTACATTGGCTAGAGGTATAGGGGGAGGGTTGAGATCTCACAAAACATGTTTAAACCCGCCGCATTTTTGCGCCTGTCCCAAGTCAGGAGCCTCTGGCCTTTGTTAGTCTTGTATGTGTTTTAATTTGAGTTCATTTATATGTTTTGGAGTTTAGTGTGACGTCCATTTTCACTGAACTAGTACACAATTTTATTTAGGGGACAGCTGAGGACCACCTCCGGATGCGGGATTTTCTTGCTGCGTTGAAGACCCATTGGTGGCCTTCGGCTGTTGTCTGCTCTTTGGTCGGGTTGTTGTCTTTTGACATATTCCCCATTTCCATTCTCAATTTTATTACAAATGTATAAATAATTGAATTCTTCTCTCAAAGTTTTGATATTTTATTAATGATCTAACCGATTCGTTCCTGCTTTTTACGATCCAAGAAGGCGGAATATTCAATTTGTACCTCAAATAGATCCTCAACAGCTTGTAGACCCGAAATGATGGTTTCAGGAAGACTTAACTCTTCTGCTTCTTTTTTCACTTCCCGCAGTTTTATCAATGCAGGATCATAACTGATTTTATTTGACATTCTAAAATACAAAATAATAAATAATAAATCCTATTGCTATCAATTAATATTAATAGGATACAATAGGTGAACACTTTCAAATAAAGCCAACTTGTGCTTCGATATCTCTTAAAATGAACTAACCGTTCGAATATAAAATACTGGCACTTACCTTTGTTGTCAAACAAGAGCATTTTAAAACTCTGTCACTTTAGTTACTGACCTATAAAGCATCAAAATTTAAACCTTGCACGAAAAAATACTGTTAAGAATATTCCAGGCATAATTGCTTTTGTCATAAAGGGTAACACTACATATAAAGTTAGTAACATAACTTAAACAAATATACTTGTACGTACGCTACAAATTAAAGTACATAGAAGCTAAACATGGTTTATAACTGAGGGGCCTGATGGGTTATTTTCGTTCTTCGTGATCGGCGCATTTTCGCTATCGTGATCCGTTTTTCTACAGATTTTTTTTTTTTATATTTTCGTGATCCGTGATCATGGAAATTTATTTTCTGTGAATCGTGATTGACAAAAAAATCAACTCGTGAATCGTGATGAGACCCCCCCCACCCCCCCCCCCCCCCCCCCCCCTTCATCAGGCCCCTCATTACTGTATATTTTGACACATGATCCTGAAGGAAAAGATATTTTGGTATACGTCAACGAGACAGCACCCGGTCACAAAGACTTATGACATCTGTAGTTTAATCACAAAGACTTATGACATTTTTGTTTTATATACAATATTCCTACATTGTAGGAAAATATCAATATAAATTTATGTGTAGCTTTATAAACACAGAGCGAGGCTCGTCGAGCTTCATATTTTACTGCAATGTACAAATATTCAATTTGTCTTTATCTTTAGCGCTTACATAGTAATAATTCTTATATGATTTACATATCTATAAATACTTGAATTGGATTGGTCAATTAGAATTTTTCTCTTGCATGGTTTACACTTCGATAAACCATGTTTCCGAAACTACTTTAGTAACCTTCACTGTGATCTATTCATGCGCGATACACATGCATGGCAGGATTCCGGGATTTTCAGCAAATTGAGATTAAAAAACAAATACATAATAGTTCTTTCTATTCTAATGCATATATAACAAAAAAGAAATAATGCATTAAAGCTTCGAAAATGTATAAAAATAAAATTTAAATAAAATTCCGCGAAATTTCATGAATGATTTAGCGAATTTACGTCATGGCAAAACACGACGTCATACGAATGAAAACTTTCAAGGGAAAGATTATTTCGTTACTTGTACGCTTAAAATTCGGATAATATCTCATTAAAATGATGTTTTTGGGGTAAGTGCTATTTCATTTTAGATTCTGATGCATTTATCGAACCTTTATTGATTTAGAAATTCAATATGGCGGCCAACTCCTTAGTTACGAACTGTCAATAGTGCATTTGATGGTAATTATAGTAGCCATTACACAAAAAAAATGTAAATTAAAAATAGCGAATATTTGGCTTAAGAATTATAAGGATTAAACACATTTTTTCTAGAGGTTATTGATGTGTAATCCGGGGGCTCTTACTCACAAACTTAACATAAAAGTCCTTCATGTTAAGTTTGTGAGTAAGAGCCCCCGGATTACACATCAATAACCTCTAGAAAAAATGTGTTTAATCCTATATTGAATTTGTTTTTGAATGAAATCAACATGACTAAAAGGCGGACCGCGATATCCTAGGACCCCAAATTAAACTGGAACGTAAACTATAAGGTAGATTCATGGTATACCGCCATCTTGGATTGTACAATCTCAGTACAAAATTGGTCTAGTTATTTGCCCAAATCTGCAAATTTGGAGACAGATTTGCAATTTAATGGTTAGATTGTTTATTTATATAAAGAAAACTTGGTTATTTATTGTATTATTCAAAATATTTAAACAAATATCAAATTTTGTGTTTTCAGAATCATTTTTTTTTCAAATAAGCCATTTAAGGGGAGATAACTCTTTTAGTTAAAAAAATATACTGGACTGATAGAGAAATTTTTTATTTTTACTTGTAGCAAGAAAATAAGTTCGGAGACACCATTTTTTCTTTTTATTTTTTTAAAACATATTATAAAACCTTTTACAATTTATTTCAAAATTCTATCTCATAGAATTTTTTTAATGCACACAAATGTGTTTTTTCATGTACAATCTAACCAAATTTAGGCAATTTTCAACGACTCATAGCTTGGAAAATAGCACGGTGACTCATACTTTTTATTATATTTTTGAAAAAAGCATAGTCAAATCTTCCTTTTGGCAAAGTATAAGAACATTCTATCTCAAAAAGTATATACTTATGATCTACCATAAGTTGAATATAACCGTTCGCTCACAACCTCGTTCGGGTCAAGTAGTGTCATCCGAGCCGCGCTGATTAGATGACATATACCGACTTGCTTGGTCAATAACTATAACATATACGTTTATCGCTTCGTGTTATCTGTAAAACTGCATTTGTATAGTAGAAAGATCGATTCAAGAATAAAAATTTAAATGTGTTCACTCTGTTAAAGATATTGTTTGTACTATACACCTACGTACAATTGAACGTTTATAAAAATGGAAAACATTTGATGCAAATTATGTCTACACTATAACTATTGAGAGAAGATACCAAAGGGGGAGGGGGGGGGGGGGGGGGGGGGATAAAAAATCATCAAATTAAAAAAGACAACACCGCGGTCAAAAAGTAAAATAACAAAAAAAAAAGAACAATAACAAAACAATACAGCAAAATGAAGATTGAGCATAATGAACCCCACCAAATAATTGGGGATGAACTCATGTGCTCCGGAAGGACCAGCTGTTCCTACACCATTATTAATCCTTGTGTTACATTTATTTAGAGAAAATGGTAAACATGCATGTCATGACTAACCGTTAGTATTTTGTTGTCACGTTAAACTGAGGACTACATGACTAACCGTTAGCATATTGTCGTCAGGTGACGACGTGACTAACCGTTAGCATATTGTCGTCAGGTTAGACTTAGGACGACTTGACTAACCGTTAGCATTTTGTCGTCTGGTTAGACTTAGGACGACGTGACTAACCGTTAGCATATTGTCGTCAGGTTAGACTTAGGACGACTTGACTAACCGTTAGCATTTTGTCGTCTGGTTAGACTTGGGACGACGTGACTAACCGTTATCATTTTGTCGTCAGGTTAGACTTGGAACTACGTGTTTGACCTGATATCTGTTAATACATTCGATATCTTACTTGGATAATCATATCGTCCTGTTCGTCCAGATGTTTATTCACTTACAATCTTTTATATTCGACATGTAATTATAAGCATGTTTAATAAATTATTCATCGTTTTTAGGGAAAATACAATATAGGCTAAGCCTATTTGATTCGTTACAGGTATTATTAACATTAATATTAATTATAGTACTTTCAACAAGCACAGGTTTAAATACACAGTGAATCAAGTAATTTAGCGAATTTGTCTATTTTGTCATCAGCTAAGCACTGACCATTCATCGTTTTTTGTGGAGGCGCAAATATTTTTCTCTCGGGAAAAACATTTGTTTTTCAACTTTATTATATATTTATAGTACTAATATACAGGAACAAAATTTTTTAAAAAGTCAATGAATGTTGTTTTTTTTTCTTCTTTCTTGTTTTCTATAGAAGCAAACAATGTTTTCTGAAACTTTTTTTTTCTATTTTCAAGAAATTATGAATCAATCAAATTCCCTTTCCCACAAAAGATGAATGGTCGGTGCTTTATTACATTTGCCCGTAACTGGTTCACTTAGTTTGTACTAAGAGATGATTCATGACAGAGCTACGTGTTATACTATTTGATTTCAAAACCTGTGTCTACCGAGATCTTCCAATTATCACATGCATCAATAATGTTGTTAGCATTATAAAAAAGAAGAAGTGGGCTATAACAAATTGTGAATACATTAAACTACCAATCCATGACCTTCCATCAACACCAAATACACCAGATAACAAACAAATTGAGATATGACAACAGACAACTACTAACGAAAGTACGATGTTTCCAAGTTGCGACAGGCAACTGCATATATGGCGTGGATGTACAAGCAAGCTTATGCTGTTACATCACTGTCAAAGGTTAGAGTAATGATCAAGATTTATGATCCCTTCTGTAGCACCTTGAATTACGAAATTTTTAAAGTGTGATAATACCAAAACAGCAAAAATACTGAATAAATGAGACCTACCATTTTGTATATATACCAAAGGGAAACGTCATTCACAGAAATTACATTTATTGTCTAATTGCATTTAGTAGAAAATGTGAATTATTTAAAAACAAAAATCTCTAATAAAGTCTGTGTGTTTTTTGCAAAATTCTTAGCTTTATTTGCCACCAAATCCCCATTTTCTATTAAATGCAATGAAATATTTAACAATAGTGCTTTGAACAACGTTTTCCTTTTGATATATATACAAAATGGCAGGACACTATTGTTAGATGTATTTTCACTGATATTGTAGCACATTGAATATTTCGTAATATACACAGGCCTACAGAAGGAATCAGAAGGGGTCATTAGCCTTAATATACTAGTTCAAATTAAATTGGATCAAAAGAAATAGAACAATGATGTTCTTTAGAATGCAGTTTTGAATATTTTTTTTTTATTTATCTATATAAGTTAAAAAGAGACGGTTAACATTTAAATTATTAAAAAACCCTACCTAAAATAACATTACGCTTTAATGAAAATAAGTTTATTCACTTACATGCAAGCGTGTACGTGTGGCTTTTTGTTACATGACAAAACGTCCTAAATTATGACTCTTTTATCATGTTTATGCGACGAACTGATAATTGTGGGTCTCATTGGGGTCTAAGCGTGACGCGGGTTTGGCCGATTGTTTTAAAGCTTGACACGTGAAAGTCAAATATTAGCGTGAAAACGGGAAACGAAGTTGGGCGGGACACGGGAAATAACATGCGCTATTACGGGATTCTGACAAAACAATAAGCGGGAT